CAGCTTCCAGCAGTCTAAATAGCTGATCGGCCTGTCTGTGCAAATCAAAAGGGAAAGTTTGAAAACAAAATCTGCAATAAGTCAAAAACATCTCCACTGATACAAACACACCAGAACCTTCTGCTCCAGCATTCTGACCCTTTTGTCAAACAAACTGGCACAGACCAACAAAACCTCAATTCATCATTACAAATGACAGGTCGGGGAAGTGTTTAGCCAATCCAATCTTTAATTCATTGTAACTACAGGGTTGATTTTAACTCTGATGGGTGTTATACCTGAGGTATACAGGGGAGCAATAAGCCATTCACATGAACTTGTGAATGTAAACCCAGGCCCATACAATTCTAGGCTGTTAGCCTTTCCAACTGCCTCCTGGACCACCAGCCTGCACAACCTGTGCAATTGTCAGTAACTTCTGTGATTTGACTTGAAGCTAGGATGCACCTCTTAAAGTGAGATTGCAAGCCCTGCTTGTGTTTTGCATGCAACAAATCTGGCTGCAGACATGAATATAAAGGCTGACCCTAAAGTTTTGAGACATCCCTGTTCATGTGAATGAGGAGCTAAGGGCTACATCTGTCACCATCAATAGCCTGGGAGGGCCATGATTAATCAGAAGCTCAACTTAAATGGCCAAATAAATATTATGGCTACAGAAGCGAATCGTAACATGGAAATTCTATGACAGTTAGCTTTTTGTGATTCCTCATGGGATGTGGAAATCGTTGATAAGGCCGGCATTTATTGTTCCAAAGTACCTACAGGCTAATTAACAGTCAACCACATTGCTGTGGGTCTGGAGTCATATGTAATCCAGACCAGGTAAGGATGGCAGTTTCCTTCCCTAAAGGGCATGAATGAACCAGACGGGTTTCTATGATCATCATACAACTTGTATACTTTAATTCAAATTCCACTATCTGCCATGGTTGGATTTGAACCTTGGCTCCTAGGGAATTACTCTGGATTACTAGTCCAGTGACAATCTCACTATGTTTTTGTCTCCACGTCACCATACCTTCACTGTCACTGAGTCAGAATCCCAGAACTCCTTCTCTAATAGCGCTGTGGATATACCAACATCCCGTGGCCTATAGTGGTTCAGAACGCAGCTCACTGTCACCTTAAGGACAATCGAAGATGGCAACAAATGCTAGACTTGCCAGTGCCATTTACAACCTTTGACTGAATAACAAAAGGGAAATACTGTTCCTGAGAGGTGGCTGAGGGACTCAGAACCAAATTTCAAAATAGAAAACATTTCAATGACATGACATGAGCAACAAGCTCTAACTCTTCATCTCTCTTCTCCTCTTAGCCCTTCCTTCGGTTCTTATAATTACCACCTGTCTTTCAGCTCTTTGCACCATTCTCTTCTCATATTACGATATTTGTACAACCACTTCTATTCCTCCTTACACACTTCACACCACACAATTCCTTTTACAATTATCACCTCCCAATCATTGTTCTAAATGATTTCTTCTATACTTATAGCATTTTTACTGAATGAACAAAACCCCACATATGACCATTTGTTTTCTCAACACACATTCTTTGTGCAGGCAAAGACTCACGTAATGGTAGGGATAGGGGAAGTATTAGTGGAGTAGATCCCAATGTCATTGACCTGATTCGGACAGCAGAAAGTACTTGAGGTCAGTGGATCCAGCCTTAGTATGAGCATCGGAGAATATAGTGTCATACCCAATTTGCTCCTTCCGTTCATCTCAGGTCCCACATATCAAAATAAGCAACTTTAACCTGTATGCTCCAGACTGTTACCTGATCCTGTGCAGCTTTTCTCTTGACAATTCTTCTCCTATCTCTTGACCTTTTAGAGCCTTCCCAAAACGAAGGCCCATAAAGAAGAGCAGACCATGGAAGAAGACAATCTCTCTCTGAGGAGAGACGCCATGAGACACTTCAGCCCTCATAGGCACTGGCTCCATGTGGATTAGATTACAAGGTAGAGGGGATTGGAGGAACACTCAGAAGAATGGGCAGCGGAAGCAACCAGTCACAGAGACAGCAAAGAAGTTCTGCTGGAGGGCAAAGTCATCTCCTAACTCTCCTGAGAATGACAAGAGATTGGGACATTCAGAATCTAGCCATGAATTGAAATTTTCAAGACACATACACAGTCAAATCCACAAGTGTTGGAACTGTATCAGGAAGTCTCATCCACATAGCTGAATGTGTGGAAAGGTCTGACTCTCTTTCCATCTTGCTTGGCATCACCGTGGAGACAATGATGCAAGGTGTGGTGTGAAGAGAGGAAAGTAAGAAGTCAATATGAAAATAGAACATGCTGGAAAAACTTAGCTGATCTGTCAGCAGCTGTGGAGAGAGAAACAGTTACTGCTTCAAATCCGATGTGACTACTCTTCAAAATGTTGGAATGAACAAGGGAGGTGTCTATGTGCCTTCGCATTTGTAGGTTGAAACTCCAAGGATATTACAATGGGACCAGCATAGCAGAAGTCCATGCTAACATGATATGTAGTTTTGGTGACACAGAAATGACTGCAGTCTCTGGGCTAAAGAAAGGAGAGAATGGTGGATGGATGAATAGGGTCTTTGGGGACCTCAATTAATTTCAACCAACTACTCTCCTTCAGACAATCGAGAGATGTTAAGCCCAGCCCAAAGGCAGGACCACAAATGAAACGACAGTCTCATTCATTGATCTTATTCAGGGTGTCAGCACATCTGTATACAGATGTTCCCAATTCCCAAACCCATGCCCGTCTCCATTACCTACCATTTTGCCAGACTGTAGCAGGTTCATGTAGGTTTCAGCACCAAAAGCTGACTGGCCGTAAGCATCTCTAGCATCTACATATGAGCGACCTTCCATAACTTGGTTAAGACTCAGAGGTAAACACCTAAGTTAAGTCCAAAAGGTGATGCATAACCTGTAGGTCCTGTATCCTATATACAGAGCTACACACAGACAGCACAGCACACAGACAGTGCAGCACCCCCTACTTCCTGGTCACCTGTTGTATTCTGAAACAACAGCTTTCTCTGATCTTTCAAATCTTTCTCCATCCCAAACTAAGAGGAGCTCCACAGGGGTGCAGGGACCTGACTGTAGGATTGTAATGCCGCATAAAGTGTAGAGGTCACAATCTGGAAGCTGGAAATGCTCCTGGCAAATCAGGCAGCAAGAGATCCTATGATCCAGTGAACAGGATACAAGAGCTGACTTTTATAGTGTTTCAGGATATCTCAGAGACCAACAGTCTTCCCGATCTTGCCAGCTACCTAAAAACCTGCAGAACGTCTACAAATCAGAGTTAAAATGCCTTCACTGTATTGAATTGAAAGCTACCTCTTGCGGTTTCTGAACACAACAGGTCAGAAAACACACACGTGCCACAATAAGCAAGTCTGGCTCTTGCTGTATTGTTCACTCGCAGTGACTAATTTGGTGAATGCCCTCCCTTTAGAACTATCATTCTATTTGTTTGTACCATACTTTCTTTCTGTCTCTATAAATCAAGTTCTACTTGATCTGGTAGTCAACTGTTAACTCCTGAAATTCTCTTTGTTGCTTCTGCACAACATACTTCCATTCAATTAACCTGTTGGAAAACATATCTTGAACCCATAGATTTATTTCCTTTACTTCTCAGCTGTGCTTTCCTACATGAGGAGTTATGAACACTCTGAATGCTTGTATACTTTATTCCTCTTCATCATTAATTGTTAACCACTGACATCCTATTACACTCCAATTTTCAGTTGTCATAACACCCTTGAGTTCAATCGTACAGCCTCTACTGTTCATTTACATGCGTCTTTTCTGTTCAGGATAATTTTAATTTCATCGCTATTAATTTTCTATCCTGTTAGTCTTTTTTTTCCCGCTCTCTTCCTCTTTACTTGTTTGTCACTGTGGCAATACTGGGGCCAATCCAGTTCAGACGGAATTTTTAGTAAAGTCTTAAGATCTAATACCTCTGTTAATGCCTCTGACATATCTATTTCTATCGAACGGTTCCAGCAATGGAGAGCCAGAAATCATTGTGAGATCACTACAATTGAAGTTTACACTTCAGCCTAAAGACATTCCCTCAGATTTCATTTTTCAGACCACCATGTCTTTGAGCACAGCCTCCTATGAATGAGATGGCAGCCTCCAACTGATGTGAGAATAATGAACCCAACTTTCCGCAATTCATCCAAATTTGAGAATGATGTCAAAAACTGTGTCCAACCACTAAGTGAACAAACAGTAAAGACAGCGCTTTAAAGTTTCAAGTTCCAAAAAGGAGTTAAATCCAAGCCTAGAGTAATGGACTGGACAGTACAGAATTGTGTACAAGTTTGTAAAGTGTAAGGATGTACAATATTCTATGAAGTAATCTATACTGAGTTTTAACAAGAGTTCAAACTTCAACTGCAAAGTGTAACAGGATGATTCAGGCCTCTTAAGGTCCATGTTAATGAAGTAAAGTTCATTAACTTTATCACCATGAAGTTCTTCATAGAAATATTCAAGTATTAATAGCCTCCAACAGATAGTTGGTTACAATACTTGTCAATTTGAATCATGAATTCTTTTGTTGGTACATAATGTCTAATTTTTCTATTAGAGTTATATATTATTATCTGGAAATTCATCAGGTTACCTCCTATCACCTGCTCTATCATCAGCAAAAGACCATCAGCATTAATGGCAATTTCTGTTAATGTTGCTTTGGAACCAGTTACTGAAAGATGTACAGAATCAGTCTTGATCGATTCTCACTTCAGCTTTTGGGAAATATCCACTCTGAGGTGCTCTCTCCCACTGACACTTGGGAGACCTGAATTCATCTGAAGGAGAATGAAGAACTGTTACCAGTTTGTGCTTTATCACGTGACAGTGCAAAAACATGCTAAGATATCCAAATAGGAACAGGAATGGACAAAACAAACTATCCAAGTAAGTGAGTAAAGACACCAAAACGAAGCATGTATAATTACAATTTATACATATCTACCAATATTTTATTTGTTGAAGCACATCAAATTCTATTTACTTCATTTTCAACAATTACACTTTAAAAACAATTCAAATTTTAACACTGTGCCAGACTCTAAATCATGCTATTATAATTACAGGAATGGAAATAATATCCAAATCAGATTTTACAATTGTAAGTACAGTTACGTTGCTTTTTTGGAATTAAAAGCCTTGCGATAAAAGTTTAAGAACAGTGCCAGCATTGTCAAACCATACAGTATACTGTAAATACAAAATCCATGAAAGAGATACCCCCATATTGCAAGAATCAAGTCCAAAAGAAACTGGAGGATTTGTAACTGAGTCATTTTTTTCTTCCATGCAGGTCGTTCGATAGGGTTCAAGGCACTCTGCCCATAGTAGAAATACAGGATGACATGAATGAATGAATTAAATGTAAGGAAAGGAGCAATGGCTGGCCATGGGTAGTAATGGTACGTCAGGTCACTAAGAACCAGCATGCTGCAATGATGGTAGACATGTAGGAAGGAGATCTGACGCTTGCGATGTCTTAAGATCATGAAGACCGTGTCAAGCAGCTCCACATTTTTTATTACCCAATACATAAAGTAAGCATGGTACAATTCTGGAAAGAACTCCTTTTGAAATATGGAAGTTGTGATGCTAAGACCACGCAGGAACAGCAGAGTGATGTACAGGCTCATGATGCTACAGGCCATATTATAGACTAATAGGATCTGCAGAACGTAACAAACAGGCATTTACAAGGATTGGTAAGCAGCAACTATTCAAATCACATTCTATTCAACTTAACAAATGACAATGCCTAAGAAAATTGAATTAATTTGGCTTCCAGCAATATAATTATGAAAATACATTTTACGTTGAAGAAAAATTAGACGACTTTTAGATTTGAACCCATGAATTATTTAACCAGAGGCTTTAATGCTTATATTATTTTCCTAACATTGATTGCAACTGTCCTTCCCAGCACAACTCACTCACTTTCTCCAGCAGTGTAGCTGTAATCTTTAACTTGAGGTGACTGGGTGTCACCAAGGGCTATAACAGGAATCTCAGTATTTACAGGTGTGTGGATTATTCTGTGACTGAGGTACATCCTGTATCTCAATTAGTACACAGCACTATTGAAGCAAGATCCTTACTGCAAAACCTACTCCATTGCCTTGTTATTCAATCATATTAAAAGCTTTTCAAGCAAATTGTTACACTTTTATTACTCTCTGGCTATGAAAAACTTAAAAACTTTAGCATCATTACAAATGGCGGTATGAAAATTTAACAACTGGAGGAAGGGATTGTGTTCATAGCTTTATTAATTGTAAAGAATAAGGCACAGTGGCTCAGTGGTTAGCACTGCTGCCTCACAGCGCCAGGAACCAGGGTTCGATTTCATCCTTGAGTGACTGTCTGTATGGAGTTTGGAGTTCTCCCCGTGTCTGCATGGGTTTCCTCCAGGTGCTCTGATTTCCTCCCACAGTCCAAAGGTGTGCAGGTTAGGTGGATTGGCCATGCTAAATTGACCATTGTGTGCAGGCTAAGTGCATTAGCTGTGGGAAATAAAGGGTTGCAGGGATAAGGTAGGGGGTGGGTCTGAGTGGGATGCTCTTCAGAGGGTTAGTGTGGACTTGATAGGCTGAATGGCCTGCTTCTACAGTGTAGGGACTCTATAAAAAGCATAGAGAAGCTACGAGTGCTCTTCTTCGAGCAGATTCATGAAATGTGGCCAAAATTAAGACAGAAACAGTTTCTACTGGCAAGAAAGACTCAGCAACCAAACGATACATGCTTCTTTTTGGTGCCTTTACTCACTTAATTAGGATAGTTTGTTTTGTTCCTTCCTATTAAATCCTTTGAAAAATTGACAATCAAGCCAGCAGAGTTAGGAAAAATGTCTTTTTGTACAAATTATGCCGTGTGCTCTGGGATGGCAGCACTGTTGTATGAAGAGACTGAATAGTTAGGACAGATTCAAGGGCATTTGGAAGAATTGGGCAGTGTAGGGAGACATCTTGTAGAAACCTATAAAATCCTAAGAGGATTAGACAGGGTAAACACAGGAAGGATGTTGCTAATGACCAGGAAGTGCAGAACCAGGGGTCACAGTGTAAGGATATGCCATTAGGACTGAGATGAGGAGAAATTTTATCTCCCAGAGAGTGGTGAGTTTGTGGAACTCTCTGCCACAGTAAGTGCTTGAGGACAAAACATTAAATGTTTTCAAGAAGGAGTTAGAAATCGTTCTTCTGGCTAAAGCAATCAAAGGGCATGAGGAGAAAGCAGGAACAGTTATGGAGCTGGATGATCAGCCGTGAACATGGTGAATAGCAGTGTAGACTCAAAGGGCCGAATAGCCTATTCCTGCTCCTATTTTCTATGTTTCTGCCTGAAAGGGTGATGGAACCAGAATCAATAGCAACTTTCAAATAGGATATTACTTGAAATGGAAAAAATGGTAAGATAAGGCAATGAATAGTTGGCTGTTTGAACAAGCTGACCAAAACACTGAGAGGTGAATCACCATCCTTTGTTTTGCATGACTCCATGAATCAAACTTAAAAGAAATATAATACATGCACACATTGACTATGAATTATTTACGCTAGGCAACTCCTTTTTGATATGCTGCCATGACCAGTCATGTCTCCATGTGTTTAATGAATGCCTTCGATAAATTCAGAAATGAAAAGTTTCAAATATTTAATCCATTTAATAACTTAAAAATATGGCAGCAGCAACCCGGTAGTACAATACACTTATGCAAAAAGTGTCAGAATTTAGGATGGTACATTCACTCAGCAATGCCACAAATACCAATCCCAGTTCAGTGATCCAGGAGGAATAAGCAAAACTCTCACACTTTCTGCAAAAAGAGAGAATAAGCGGCAGCATGGTGGCTCAGTGGTTGGCACCGGTGTCTCACAGCACCAGGGACTGGGGATCGATTCCACCATCGGGTGACAGTGTGTGTGAAGTTTGCGAAGTGTGTGAAATTCTCCCCGTGTCTGTGTGGGTTCCTCCCACAGTCCAAAGATGTGCAGTTTAGGTGGATTGGCCATGCTAAATTGCCCCATAGTGTCCAGGGATGTGCTGGCTAGATGTATTAGCCATGAGAAATGCAAGGTTACAGAGATAGGGTAGAGGGGTAGGTCTGGGTGGGATGCTCTTCAGAGGATCAGTGTCGACTTGATGGGCCAAATGGCCTGCTTCCACACTGTAGGGATTCTATGATTGTAAGAAACAGCAGCTGAGTTAATTCATTCTCATCCATTCAGTAATATTATGTTACAGTGTGATGTGTAATTTGGGGGCATGCTGTATCTCGTTTGGGGAATGATTGACAATCCCCTCTGATTTTAGGCACATTCCTTAAAAGCAAACTGGGTGCTCTCAACTTTCCACCTGAAACTGATTTTTGAACACAGAAAGATATAGAGAGGGCAGCACAGACGCCTCAGCCTGCAACACACTGCCTGTTCCCACTATACTCAATAATAATCAGAATTATGATCTTGGAGGAAAATTGTCCGGTTGCGGGGAGCAGTAGTGGGTGACAAGAGGCCGTGATGAAAAATGTACATTTCTTCAAAGCTGCAAAAGTCTTTAAGTGCTTTTGGAGTTTAAAAAAAAATACTTTTATCTGCCCAGGCTCAGAATGCAATCAACAGATTTCACCTCCATGTGACAGCAGCACTAAGTACAAGATGCTAAGCTTGCCTTGAAGTCACATCACATGTGCTGACTGTACACAGGCATCTGAATTGAGGGACAGATATTACATGGTGACTGCACTACAATACAAGAAGCAACTTTCAGCTGGTAATATCCAGCTGACAAATAAACTCAATTTTAAAAAAGCAATAATCTGCTCAGGTAAATATCTTATTGTCCTGCTGATTAAATCAGGTCAACTTGTATAGTACTGAAATCAACTACACCAGACATGTTGTCAGGGTGTTCTTAATTAATATTTAGTTAAGTTGGCATTTTACCCCTCAAAAATGTGTGTCACTGCTCTCTCTAATTTCCACAAACCTCCAGCACATGATAGTGTTTCAATTAATTTGGGGTGATCCATATTTTCCATATCTGACGAGAATTCCTGTGTAGAGAAGGCTGGTTTTTTAATCTTTTTCTTACCACCAGACAAGGTCACAGTGACCTCCAAATAACAACAATAATGCAACCTCCTGTAATACCATATCCATTACAGAGAAAGAGAGAATCGGGGTAATAAATTAGGCCTCTCTTGGGATTGCAGCAGCTGTCAAGAAGCAACATCCAGAAAACAGCAGATATACAGCAGCAATGGACATTTTAAAACATCAAAGCTTGTGGCTACAATGTGATCACAGTAAGGATTTACACAGCCTCTTCCTCGTACTTGAAGTAACTTTGCATCCAAAATTAATAAACTTTCACGAACCTCAGTTGGAAAGTTGTATTCACCAAATGCCATCAAGGGCATGCCTGTTAGTGAAACCAGTTTTTATCACAGTGAATGGCATTTGCATTGCATGTGAACCCTGTCCATTTCAATAAAATCTACGCCTCAAAATGACTATGAGATTTGAGTTAAGATTAGATTCAGAAGTATGTAATTCCATGTTGCTTTTGACCCACATTGTCTACGAGTGGCTAAAAATCAAGAGGTGCCATAAGCAAGTAATTACATCTGTAACTCACACCCTTGCCATTTCTGATAACAAGCAGGGTCATTTATTTGTTTTGCCCTCATTTCCTATAGTGAAAGGCTTAGCAGCACTGCATCAAAGTGAGATGACTGACCCAGAAAGAAGGTCACTGTTAATGGAGAACAATGGAAATCGGATATCTCAAATACAGTAGACCAAAAATCTTCTAATGTCACTGGTCTGATACAGCAAAATTTACTGCATAAATACAGATCAACTTTTCAGGGATATTATTCACAGCAGTTACAAGATAATAAAGTAACTTGTATAGATTATAGTAAGACGACATTTAACCTGCAATATTTTGTTCAGAATCAAAGCACCACAGCCGAGAAATTGTGTATAAGCCCTTAACACATTCATTTGACATTTGTTTGTGCACTATTTAACAGAGGCATTAACCTATTCTTATTTGAAATAAGCTGTTAAATTGGATAAAGCAATGCTACATTAAGTGTTCACATGCTAGTATTGTGCACAATAATTTCTCAACTCACAGAATCCAAAATGTAATATTTGCCTTTTGAAATTAAGAGTTCATAAAATTTGTGGGGATAAATATTCAAATTGACACTGTTACAGCTAAGTGTTTAATTAAAAAGGTACAATTAATGTTGGAAATTGATGTTATCAATTATTAATGATTTCGTATTAATAATTAATCCTAAAATGGTTAATAAATTGGGTACGATTCTCATTGAGAAACTCTAGCCTTCTGGTTTCCTGGGAGCTCCCTCTCTTCTACAACACTCGACTTCCCTATAGTTTGGTGCATACACAAATTATAGAACCTGCTCCGGTTGTCCCTGACTTTAATGGGAAGAACCAACTGTATCTTAGAGTGAAATGGGGTTAGAGATCAGGGATAATTGGACCAGGCCTTGCAGATTTAACTCAGTTGCTTGCTTAGACTCTCATATTCCACCCTTACTTGTATGCTGATGGTAGAAATTCCAATGGCTATATCTATAGTGGAAACTTCCTATGCAATCTTAACAGACTCAAATCATATCCTCCTGCCA